TAAACATGTATTTCCGTCAGTTATGGGTAAGTATGCAGGTAGATTTTCAAAATTATAAGACACAGAAAATTTCTAAAGCCTACATCTAAAACAGGTAGTATTTTCTTTTCCCGGCTTGTTATAAAAAGGAACCTTTCTGTCTAGGTAAGATTTGATTTTTTCAATTTTATTCTTGTTCCGAGTATAAATATGAGTTAATGCGCTTTGAAACTTCATAACATCTTCAAGGCTCGCCGGAGATAGTTCAGTTCATAAGTCTAATTTCAAAACCGTGATTTATTAAAAAAAATAAAATGTGTAAAAGGACGCGAGAATTTGAGTGTAATAAAGATCCAGATATGTTCTGTTTCATGTGTGGCCAATATACTATCATAAAGCGACGACGAGTGTTCTCAGATCATATCAAAACTTTATACTCCAAGTATTTTGGAATTGAGCCTAAAAATGCTGAAAAACCATGGACACCGAACACTTTGTGTACATCGTCTCGAGTAGAATTGATTCAGTGGGAATCAGGACAACAAACAAAATTTGATACACCAATGATATGGAGCGAACCTACTTGCCATTCAATAGAGTGTTATATTTGTCAAACAAAAGTACTTGGCGTTGGAAGATGAAGAGGAGTAACCTATGCTAGCGTACCTACAGTGACATTACCAGTACTACATTCAACGGCAGTTGCGGATCCAGTTCCATTGTCAACAGTAACATCTGAGTGCGGGGGATCAAGTTGTACTGAATTTCGCATGGAAAACGAAAGAAACGTTCTGTCACAAGCACAACTTAATGATTGGATAAGAGATTTGGAACTATCCAAGGAAAAGGCCGAGATCCACACTTCTCGTATGCAACAATTTAAATTTGTGTCATCCGATGTTAAGGTGACATATAGTAGAACTCGTCACGAACCATTTTCCAAACACTATACCAAGAAAGACAGTATATGCTACTGCAACGACATCCCTGGTTTATTCAAAGAGTTTGGTCAAACATATGATTCAAAAGAGTGGCGATTGTTCATAGACGGCAATAAACTGAGTTTGAAGGCTGTATTATTGCATATTGGTAACAAAAAGCCTTCTATCCCGATTGCACATGCAGTAAATACAAAGGAAACCTACGAGGAAATGCAAAAAATACTCAAATTTATCAAATATGAAGAGCATGATTGGAAAATATGTTCTGATCTCAAAGTCGTTGCAATGCTATGCGGTCTACAAAGTGGCTACACCAAGCACTGCTGCTTCCTCTGCAAGTGGGATAGCCGAGCTCGTAAGGACCACTACGTCAGAAAGGATTGGCCGGAAAGAGTCGAGTTTACCGTTGGTGTGGATAACATCAAATACACCCCTCTTGTCAAGAAAGAGAAAATCATACTTCCACCCTTACACATCAAGCTCGGTCTCATTAAAAACTTTGTTAAGGCTTTGGACAAAGAAGGCGAAGCATTCGACTATTTGAAAACAGTTTTTCCAGATATTTCTCAAGCCAAGATAAAGGAAGGTATTTTTGTTGGACCACAAATAAGAAAGTTGATCAACAATAATCAATTCAAAGGATGAGAGTAATCAGTTGAGGCAGCAGCGTGGGAATCCTTTGAAAAGGTCGTTGCTTCTTTTCTCGGTAGACACAAAAGCCCTAACTACGAGCAGATAGTGAACGACCTAATCAATAATTATGCGAAAATGGGCGTAAATATGTCTTTAAAAATTCACTTTCTCCACTCACATTTGAGCTTTTTTCCGGCAAATCTTGGCGACGAAAGTGATGAACATGGCGAAAGGTTTCATCAGCAAATGAAATTAATTGAGAATCGATATCAAGGATTCTGGGACGTCGCAATGATGGGTGATTACTGCTGGTTTCTCATAAGAGAAACCGATCCTAAACTGAATAAGCGTCAAAGTAGAACACATAATTATTTCGACAACATAGTAAAATCAAATTAAGATAAAGATTGTTAGAATATAGTATAAACATAAATAAATTAAAAAAAAAAGTTAAAAATATGGGTAATTTCATTCATAAATTGAACTTTTAACTCAATAGAAACAGAGCATAGCTAGATATTTCACTCTTCTTTATACCATACATACGTTTTGAGGTATACGTTGAAATTGCGCAACCTGGGTATTTTTATTTGATCGCTTATAACATACGTAGTTTTGCATCGATTTTCTTCGATGATACCTTATTTTTTTTGTAATATAACAGAGCTTAGGGAGAAAAAAAAAATCTGCAAAAAAATAAAAGGTTTTCGAGATCCTTCCCCGCAAAGTACAATTTTTTTTATATTTTTACAAAAAAAATTGAAAAAATCGGTAATGATTGTTCGTTATCTTTGAATCTGCAGGGCCTAGCATAAAGTGTTGTATGCACAGCTTATAGAAAATTTTATTACCTTTTAAAAGCTTCAAACCGTTTTGGAATTGCTTAATTCGTTCTTGAGATATATATGATTAAGTGGACCCAATTTTTTTTTTTTTTGCAAAAACGGTAAATTGCAAATATCTCAAAAACGGTACCATAAAATTAAAAATAACCTTGAAAAAATTCAAAACACCTTCAACAAAAAAAATTCTCAAAAATCACGCGATTTCTGACAAACTCCGAACTTGTATTTTTTTGCTAGAATTTAATGGGCTGCAAAACTGCATACTCATCTATTAAAAAGTTGAAAACTTTGATGAAAATTTGCTGAATTTTCGCGACTTTGCACAAAGTTTAGGAAATATATGTTTTTTGTTGTTGAATGAACCATAGTTTTATACAAAATTGGCGGGAAAATATTAGAATAAAAATTGTTGCATATATTGTGAAAAAATTGCTGTGCCTATACTTTGTTCCGGCAGTGTACATAAAAATATTAAAAAATTGTATCAACGGAATCATAATAATGACATTTTGATGCTGCTTTTTAAATTTTTTCAAAGACTTGTTTAAGAAAAACTTGAAAACCTGCTCCAAAACTTTACCGATATAGACTTATAAGGTATCACAGGTATCATTTTCTCACCCTTTTTGTTTCTTTGCAAAAAAACTCATTCACGACCCAATTTTTTTTTTATTCAATTACAACACATCGAAATTCAACATGGAATTACACTCGTTTATCTTACCTCCCTTTTTCATATTTTGAGTGAGCTTATTCGCAAAGAAATTAAAAGGGTGAGAAAATGATACCTCATAAGTCTAAATGGTAAGGTTTTGGCTGAGTTATTTAAGTTTTTCTTAAACCAGTCTTTGAAAAAAGTGCAAAAACAGCATCAAAAATCTGATTATTATGATTCCGTAGAATTTTTTTTTTATATTTTTATGAAAACTTTTTAAGCTTAAACTACTCAGTCATCTGAGGTAATTTTTTCAAAAAATATTAAAAAAAACTGTTTATTTGGTGGAAATCTTAAATATAATACATAGATTTTATAATTCCATTGGAAAAACAGTACCGCTTTTTTTTTGTATGGGCACTGATGCAGTCTACTGTACATAAGTTGGCTACGATTACTCGGCCGTGCTATCATACACTCTAAAAAATCTGTTTAAAAATGCGACTATAAATCGAGTATATTTTTGTTTATTTTTAAATTTTTTTGGTAAATTTACACGACGAATATGTATGTGGGATTTGCATACGCTAATAAGCAACCCTAAACTGCAACTCTG